CCATTAGCTTTAGAGCCACCAACAAAAGGGACCCAACCGTAGATTTGCAAGAAGTTGACACAGGATTAGAAGGCTGCAGAGAAACTCAATTTTTGACCTTCTGGCTTTCACTGAGCTAGGCAATTCCTTATGTTAAGCCCCCATTCACGCTTTGGTGATTTTCAGCTCCTTTCCATATGTCTGACTGCGCTCAACATGCAGAATCCCATTATTTCTAATTGTGCCTGTACACACTGTGACAGTGCTGCGTCTTATCATGGTGTCAGAAGGGGTGTATGTCACACAGTGTTCTCATTGATGCAGGGTGAGGGGCACCAAGATGTCTTTTTTTGAGTGGAGAAAACAGTTTTTGCAGTTTTCCCCAGGATTGGTGTCTCCTGAATTAGGTTCTGGAGTCTGGAGGCTTCAAAGAGTCTTGGGAGGGATGAAAGGCTTTATCCCTCTCCATACTCTTCAAAGCCTCCGGCTGCTGGCATCCAATAGGACGTGGATGCAGAGTTAGAGGAACTTGTATCCACATCTTATTGGAAGCCTGCAGCCTGATTGTTCAGGGCCTGTCTGTGGTTCAGGGCTCCTTCCTCTGCTTCTCTGCTGCTGGAACAGCATGTGTGTGGAGAGAGACACTAGGGCAGTCTCTACCCTGACCTCAAGATCTGAACAAGATCTGGCCAAGCTGTGGCCTGAAAATTATACTAAGACGCTGTGTGCAACTAGGCAAAAGCCTGTGTAGCCCAGTGTTTCTCAACTCCAGTCCTCATGGACCCCCAACAGGTCATGTTTTCAGGATTTCCCTCAGATGAAACAACTGTGGTAATTACTAAGGCAGTGAAACTGATCAAATCACCTGTGCAAAATAATGGAAATCCTGAAAACATGACCTGTTGGGGGTCCATGAGGACTGGAGTTGAGAAACACTGGTGTAACCCAACGTTTTGCGATGGCCAGGAGGCTGAAAAATGTATGTTCTGTCATGGTGATGCTGAAAACCCCTGCAAAGGGTAATCCTGTGAGTTGTTTTGAACCTAACTTTAAAATAAAAGTTGGCTAAAAGCCCTGAAAATGCACTTCCCTGGCTGGACTGAAGTTGATAAAATAAGCTTTTTAAGTGTAGTCAGGCATTCTTTGGCTCCATGAACTTCAATAGAGTCCCTGTGCATTTTGAACTTACATTTTTATACCTGAATTACTTCTCTCCTCCTATAAACCTTCTGTCCTCCCCTTGCCCAGCTCAGGAAATAAACATCTGAAGCATGATAGACATGCAAAAACACTTGTAAAATGACTGAAAAACATGCTTCAAAGTCACCAGGAATATCCTCTGCTTACGCTCTCCTCAGGTGTCCATGCAGGCTAGAAAAGCCACACACCTTAACTAATACATGTAAATCATTTTACAAGCCATAGGATTTGTAATTCTGTCCAGCCAGTCTTTTGGCAAAGCCACCCCACAAGACAGTGTAGCTAAGTTAGTGACCTCATTTTTCCCTTCTGCAGACAGGCATAACAGCTTGGTCACCAAACCACCCCTTTTCTGTTAATTAGACAATGGGGATACAGAAGTACCCTACTGAGGTCACCACTCAGCACTGAGGTCCTCAGCAAACTCCCATATGAGAATGACAGCCTTGTTCAATGCAGCTGAGTCTGACATATCCACATTTTAGCCCCTTCTTCTCCCAGGGTGCTGCTGTTTAGGGGATTATTGGAAGCTAGTATAAAGAACAACATACAGTATGTACTTATAGCAGCTGCATTTTAAAAAATACACTAAACCTCCATAAAGTAAAGTCTTCAATGTGCAGTTGTATAAATCAAATTAAAATAAATACAAAACCCTAATCAAAATAATATTTGGTATTCAATAAATTTAAAGAACTATATATATTTCTAAATATATTGAATATGGCCAAAATTATAGCATTTCAGATATATGTCAATATATTTGGGAAGAATATTTTAAGATATATTTCAGATATATTTTTCTCCCATATGGGAGGGCACATCTGGTGTTTGTGGTGGTGGATTAATCTTAAGAAGACATTTAGCTATATTGGAGGTTTTTTTGAAGCTGAAGAAGCATCATTATTAATAGACTTTGAAGTTAGGATTGTTCACTATAATTGATTTTATTTGTTTGTATTCACGTGATATTTTTGGGGGCATTTAGAGGAATCTGTGCACTATATGTTCATTTATTTAGGTTATGCACATGTTATGAGTATGTGTAAGCGTGAGCTGCTTTTTGGTTTGTAGTTATTTAGTTACACTCACTGAATAAGTTGATATAGTGTGTAATAATACTTATATAATTTTATAATATTTTTTATTTTGGCTGCTCCTGAGAATCAATTTGTTTTGTTTGTAGTATTGATGTTTTATGTACATATTTTCTAGTTAGGACAGTTGGTTCTCTTCCTCCAAGCTCTAGGGTCCTGAAGAAGCTGACAAGCGAAACGTGTTGACCTTTTGGAGGAAATAGTGCTAGACAGAACATTGTTGATATATACTGTTTAGCCATGTATTGTTTTTCAACAAACATATTTTATATCTTACCTAATAAAATTTGTAATTTTATGAATATGAGCCTGTCCTATACTGTACCAGCAAAGTCCCATAGTATTTTTATGGTTTCTTTAGAGTTGTTAATTGGGGATGAGGTGCAATGCAGTCTATAATATACCATCCAGAACTTAGAATGTAAAAAAAAGAACCGGGGTCCATATTTATTACTGTATCTACAGCCTGACTGCATAACAGTAATAATTTGTGAGGGTTCAACTGGGCTTTAAATCCCCAATGAGTTTAATGGAAAGTTCAGTGTATTTTCAATTAATATATACTGAGTAATTATCACTGTATTTATCTAAAAGTCGAACTCCAGGCATACTGCTAGGTACACATATGAAATACATATATGAGAGCCGTTGAACCTGCCAAAGAATTTCCCTTTCTATCCATCCAGTCCACCCAATTGTGAAATTTACAAATGTTGAAATAAAGTGAAGCCTTATCTTCCTGCTCCATTGCAGACTCTACATAACAGCAGAGCTCCCCGGTGTTGCTCAGATTTGTGTAGGCTAGACCCATAAGTAGGTGAAAACACATTTTTGGCTTGATGCCTTATATCTATAGAATCTATGGAAGCTCCAAATGAAGCGAATGAAAACTATCGAAGTCCAGGGCAGGATTTATGCCAATAATTTGTTACAGATATCAGAACAATTAATCAGAGTGCAGTCAGTTGAGGGGAAGTGTCAAGCCCCTCCTGGCATGAGTGGTCTTATAGACCTGGAAGAATCTGTTTCATTAGGATTTACAGTCCAGCACAGTGGTGTGGTGAAATTATTTGCAAACCTTGAGGATGTGATAGGGAATGTGATAGGGAGTCTATTGAGCCTTGGGAAGTTTTATAATTATTAGCATTAACCACTTCAGGAGAAAAGGCTGTTTACCTTTTGTGGCACAGACCAGTGTCCCATTATATACCTATTATATGTTATTTATTGATATATTGTATGAGGGTTGTACTGGAAGTAATACAAAAGTGGCCATACCTTTTTATTAACTTACTTAAGTCATTCAAATTTTACATGTTGGTAGATTAACTCTTCCTCTATAGTAACTCTTCTTCTTTTTCATTGCAGGTATATAATGGATTCCAAGCAGGAGCAGATGTGCCATCATTGAGTTCTTGATGAAGGAGGGGTACAGGCCACAGAAGCCTTCAGAATGTTCTCAGGGATAACACCATTGACAGAGAGTCACCAATGAAAAGACATTGGGGGGGATTTACTAAAATTGGAGCACTTGGTGCATGATAGCCAATCAGCTCCTAACTTCAGCTTGTTCAATTAAGCTTTGGCAATAAAACATGGAAGCTGATTGGTTTCTAAGCAGAGCTGAACCAGATTTTGCACTATCCAGGTTTCGTAAATATCCCCCATTGCTGTTGTCAATGGTAAAGCCTTCTGGGGATGTCGGACAGTCTGCACCCTTTCTTCATCAAGAACTAAATGGTGGCATATTGCTTCAGCTTGGAATCGGCTTGGAATCCATTATTTACATGCAATTAAAAAAAAGAACAGTTAATATAGAGGAAGAGTTACTCTGTGAAATCTGAACAACCGATGTAAGTTCATAACAAAAGTTATGTCTGCTTTTGCATTACTTTTGGTACAACACTTGTATATATTTTTTTTTTGGGGGGGGAGCAGGCAAGACTTTAAAACAGCTTTGCAACTATGATAACATTTGGCCTGCAACATCTGCTAAAAGTTAGAGATACTTCTTTATTTTCCACAGTTATGGGCAGGGGGCGGACTGATCATTTGGAAACTTGGGCACTGCCCGAGGACCCAGGGTCAGTAGGGCACCTCATGAGATGCCCCTGGTACCGTTTTCATAGGCTTTTTTGAGTTTGGGCAAGGACACAGGGACCCTATGATCCCCTATTGCCCGGTTGTCAGTTGTCAGTCTGCCCCTGGTTATGGGTACCACTTCCATCTGAAACTTCCAGGTGTGTTGAATAACTCGTCCTTCTCTGGGCACTAAGGTCCCTCTCAAACAGCCGCTATGTCACTACAGGATACAATAAATTTGTAGCAGCAGGGTACACACCCAGAGATGTTGAAAAAGCGACAACTTACTTAAAGGTAAACAAAAAGTATATTGCAATTGCCCCCCAACCAGAGAGGTAAGTATCCACATTCTTTATCACAGCAACAGGGTCTTTAGTGTGGTAGTATTTTCTTCCAGCAACTATTTTCAGTGGTTATGGAGTTTTAGGATACAGGCTGCAGGAACAATACATTTGCAGCATTCTGTTTTACAGGTTTGCTATGTTTAATTTTTGACCATATAGTGATAGGGTCACTTTAAACAAAGAATTTGCTTGAAAATGTAAAAGAATCAGCCGAACGATCACTGCAACTGCAGTTTGTTAAACAGGTGCAAAGCTATAAGAATTAAACTGGACTTCCAGGCACCACATAACGCATCTTAGAAACACTGTCACCCAGGGGCGAACTGACCCTTTGGAGACTGGGGCACTGCCCGAGGGCCCAGGGTCTGTAGGGGGCCCCATGAGATGCCCCTGGTACCTTTTTCATAGGCTTTTTTGAGTGTGGGCAAGGACACAGGGGCCCCATGATCCCCTATTACCCAGGGGCCTCATGAGTTGTCAGTCTGCTCCTGCTCTAACCTCTCCCAACACCTATCCTGTCTAACCTGTGTAAGAACGATAGGTATGCCTACATATTTTCAGGGTGCTGGTCAGGGGCGGACTGACAACTCATGGGGCCCCCAGGCAATAGGGGATCATGGGGCCCCTGTGTCCTTGCCCAAACTCAAAAAAGCCTATGAAAAAGGTACCAGGGGCATCTCATGGGGCCCCCTACTGATCCCGGGCCCTCGGGCAGTGCCCGAGTTTCCAAATGGTCAGTCCGTCCCTGGTGCCGGTTTAATCGCATGATCTCTGTGTCAGCTTGCAGGGCTTCAGTGGAGAGGAAGGAGGGCTGACAACAGACAGGTCATTATAAACCTATGGGTGACGTCACCCCTCCAGGGTTTACTAGTGTTGTCAGAGTGGCTCTCTCCTGCAGCTCCTATAGCTGACACAGGGGAGATTATGTGACCGGACCAGAGCGGCTTTAAAATAGGTAAGTGTACAGATCTTTTTTACCCAGATTAGTCAGAATAGATTGAGGAGGGAGCATTTTGAAGACCAGTTAGTTGTTCCCAGGGTACCTGATGAGCAGGAGGCCTGGCAGTGGTGTCCCATGGTTTCCCCTGCAGTGCAGCTGACTTTTCTTCATCTCTCTCCCGCTGGTTTTCAGCTGCTGGAGGGGGATTAGGTGAAGTATCTGTGCCCTCGCCACTGCTCCGACCACCCTCCCTTCCCACTGCTCTGATCCCCCAGTGCCCCACATTCCCCCTGCAGCACTGCCAGAGAAGGATATGGTTCAGGATGGAGAGGGGGGTGGTAAATATGTTGTTAGAGATTCTGTATATAGCCCTACAGAACAGACAGTGCACAGTCCACATGTGCTTTTTTTTTGCTTACTTAACTGCAACAAGGAGACAGGAAATGTTATTCAGAGAAAAGACATACCATAGATGCAGCTACAAACTTATAAACAGTGCCATCTACTGGTTGAATAATATATCTCTACTGAATACTGATGTAGTTGCTGCACAAAATACATGAACATTGCATTCTAACACCCCCACTCAGCAACTACTCCTAATTTTAGCCCCATTTTGGATCTCTCAGTTCTATATATCTGTTTCTTGTAAGTGGTTTTGTCGAAGCATCTGCAATCATGTTGATGGCAGGTTGGATACATCCTTGATTGACCTCTTATAAGATTGTAGGCTGGGACATTGGCTCTCCAAGATCTTCAAGCAATTGACATAACCACACAGCAATAAACTATATTTGATTAGAAAGCTATACCAAACCAAGCTGAGATTAGCTCTTTCTTGCACCTTTTGTAACCCTTCCCACATTTCTTTAGCAGTTTCACACTTACATATAGAAATGATTTGATCATCTTCCATGCTAAGAGAGATTGTGCTCTAAGCTTTCTAATCTTTCTCTGTCCACTCATCTGAAGGGTGTTCTAGCCTGACTTAATTTATACATTTCTACATATCTTTTCTTAGTAGCATTATCATCTTGAATTTCCAAGACTGGTAGTTCTGTTTTAACGTTTGCAAATGAAAGCTTTGTTGCAGCTGTGTTACTGGCCATTTTTCTTTTATTCTGTTGCAGTCTTCTTTCTGTTGATGTATCTTACACCTGTTTGCTGTAGTTGGCTAAGACTGGACCAATAATCTGTTAGTAATTCTGTATAGAGCCCTGCAGAACAAACAGTGCACAGTCCACATGTGCTTTTCTGCTTCACTGCAACAAGGAAACAGTAAACTTTATTCAGAGAAAAGGCATGCAATAGACATACCATAGATGCATCTACAAACATATAAACACTGCCATCTACTGGTTGAATATTATGTCTCTACTGAATACTGATGTAGTTGTTGCACAAAATAGTTGAACACTGTATTCAAACATATGTCATATAACTGTCCTATTTCTTTCCTGAATATACACAGCAAGCAATTGGTACCAATTGCTCCAGTGTTCATTCATACCTGCAGCACAGAAAAACTGTATTTCACTGCTTCACTTTGTAAATGAACAGGAACCCGATGTAGAGAACTATTCCTGTTACTGTTCCTGTTCCTGCACCCCATTTGAGGCTGAGGGAGCTGAGGGATGGAGGAATCTATATTTCTATTGATATTTAATTTGTTAGAATATATTTTCTATTTATAGTTCACCAAAGCCCCCAATAGGGATGTAAAAAAATGAAAAAAAAAATTAACGGCTCGTTCACACTGAAGAGCAATGTAGGTGCAGAACACTCTTCAGAGAGCATTTGATAAGAGGTAAGGAGGTGATATCCTCACTGTTGTGCAGCATTTGCAGAACAGAACCAGGAATACATAGGGCTTGACAGGGGGGGTAACTCCTGCTGCGGCAGAAAAGCAACCCAGCCACAGCATGTGCTGCTACAGCTAAAGTGGGTAGCAATTGGGGGGTGGTATAAACGCAGCTCAGCTGTGGGGTTTTATGACATTCAAATGGTCATTGGCTCCCGCTGCTGTCAATCACAGCCAGTCAGGAAGGAATGGGGTCGGGACCGAGCCACTCTCTCTGTGCCCCATAGACACACAGTGGCAGCTCCGGAGTGAGCACACACGAGTACCCCCAGAGCAAGCAGTTTGCCCTGGGGGCACTCAGCAAAGAGCCAGGAGCATGGAGGGGGGGGTGACTGAGAAGACTAAGATCATGGCTGCTCTCTGAAAAGCCATTGCACAGAGCAGGTAAGTATAACATGGTTGTTGTTTTTTAAAAAATGGAATCACTTTAATGCATTCACTGCATTAAGGTAAAAAACCTTCTGCATGCAGCTTTCCCCCCGGCCCCCCTTATGCTGATCTCGATCCAGCTCTGTGCACGAGAGCAGCGGCTCTCTCAGCTCTCTCCCTCCTCATTGGCTCAGAGCTGCACTTGCAGAACAGAGCCATGTATAGTGTTTGATGGGGGGGGGCAGCTCCTGCTGCAGCAGCAAAGCAACATGGTCACAGCATGTGCTGCTGCAGCTAAAGGGGGTATTAATTGGGGGTGGTGTAAACACAACTCAGTTGTGGGGGTTTTACGACTATCAAACGGCCATTGTGTCCTGCTGCTGTCAATCACAGCCAGTGAGGAAGGAATGGGGTCGGGACTGAGCCACGCTGTCTGTGCCCCATAGACACACAGTGGCAGCTCAGGAGTGAGCACGCACAAGTGCCCCCAGAGCAAGCAATTTGCCGTGGGGGAGCTCAGCAAGGAGAACAGGGGGGCTGAGAAGAGGAATATCAAGGCTGCTCTCTGCAAAACCGTCGCACAGAGCAGCGGCTCTCTCAGCTCTCTCCCTCCTCATTGGCTCAGAGTGGCACATGCAGAACAGAGCCATGTATAGTGTTTGATGGGGGAGGGGCAACTCCTGCTGAGGCAGCAAAGAAACACGGCCACAGCATGTGCTGTTGCAGCTAAAGGGGGTAGCAATTGGGGGTGGTGTAAACGCAGCACAGTTGTGGGGTTCTTACGACTATCAAATGGCCATTGGCTCCTGCTGCTGTCAATCACAGCCAGTGAGGAGGGAATGGGGTCGGGACTGAGCCACACTCTTTGTGCCCCATTGACACACAGTGGTAGCTCGAGGAGTGAGCACACACGAGTGCCCCCAGAGCAAGCAGTTTGCCCTGGGGGCACTCAGCAAAGAGCCAGGAGCACGGGGGGGGGGAGGGGCTGAGAAGAGGAAAATCAAGGCTGCTCTCTGCAAAACCATCGCACAGAGCAGCGGCTCTCTCAGCTCTCTCCCTCCTCATTGGCTCAGAGTGGCACATGCAGACAAGAGCCATATATATTGTTTGACGGGGGGGGCAACTCCTGCTGAGGCAGCAAAGAAACATGGCCACAGCTTGTGCTGCTACAGCTAAAGGGGGTGGCAATTGGGGGTGGTGTAAACACAGCACAGTTGTGGGGTTTTTACGACTATCAAATGGCCATTGGCTCCTGCTGCTGTCAATCACAGCCAGTGAGGAGGGAATGGGGTCGGGACTGAGCCACACTCTCTGTGCCCCATTGACACACAGTGGCAGCTCGGGAGTGAGCACACACGAGTAACCCCCAGGGATGAGAGGAAGATCAAGGCTGCTCTCTGCAAAACCCTTGCACAGAGCAGCAGCTCTCTCAGCTCTCTCCCTCCTCATTGGCTCAGAGCGGCACATGCAGAACAGAGCCATGTATAGTGTTTGATGGGGGGGCAGCTCGGGAGTGAGCACACACGAGTGCCCCCAGAGCAAGCAGTTTGCCCTGGGGGCACTCGGCAAGGAGCCAGGAGCACGGGGGTGTGGGGTTTTTACGACTATCAAATGTCCATTGGCTCCTGCTGCTGTCAATCACAGCTAGTAAGGAAGGGGTGGGGTCGGGACTGAGCTACGCTCTCTGTGCCCCATAGACACGCAGTGGAAGCTCGGGAGTGAGCAGGCACAAGTGCCCCCAGAGCAAGCAATTTGCTGTGGGGGCACTCAGCAAGGAGCCATGAGCATGGGGGGGGGGCTGAGAAGAGGAAGATCAAGGCTGCTCTCTGCAAAACCCTTGCACAGAGCAGCGTCTCTCTCAGCTCTCTCCCTCCTCATTGGCTCAGAGCGGCACATGCAGAACAGAGCCATGTATAGTGTTTGATGGGGGGGCAGCTCAGGAGTGAGCACACACGAGTGCCCCCAGAGCAAGCAGTTTGCCCTGGGGGCACTCGGCAAGGAGCCAGGAGCACGGGGGTGTGGGGTTTTTTACGACTATCAAATGTCCATTGGCTCCTGCTGCTGTCAATCACAGCCAGTGAGGAAGGGGCAGGACTGAGCCACACTCAGTGTGTCAATGGACACACAGAGCCAGCTTGAGATTATAGGAGCACTTCCATAGCCAGCTGCTTGCTCTGGGGGCACTCAGCAGAGGAGAAGAGCCAGGAGAGCCGGTGGGGGAACCCCTGAAGGGGAGGATTGGCGCTGCTCTAGGTAAAACTATTGCACAGAACAGGTAAGTCTAACATGCTTGTTATTTTAATTGTTAAAAAACTCACTTTAAATCCTTAATTAAAATCCAAAAGAAAGTTTTACTTGTACTTACACTTTAAATATAATAAAGAGCCCTGAAGCAGCCCTAAGTCCTCCTTCTGTATATGGTCTGCCTGTAAACGGCAGATGGAATTTTTTTTTTCCTGCCTAGCTCCTTCCTAAATCAACTCAACAAGGTGAACATTGTGTTTGTTACAGATGTGAACTTGCCGAGTTTTTCAGTGAAACCCGGCCCGCAAGAACTTCATAAACAAATGACAGTGTTTGGAAAAAGCATCAAGTTCATTTCCTTTGATAAAATGCAGGGAATTTAAACAGCGTGTGTTTATAATTACTGCCTGGTTCAGCTGCAGCGAAGGAATCTACTTGTTACTCACTTCTAAATAAACAAAATCGATTTTTTTTTTTCCCCTTCCCTCCACCCCCCCCCCCTCCTATTCTGCAGCCGTCGGATTAAAGTTTATTTTCATTTTTTATTTGAATACAGACAAAGCACTTACTGTACGCTTAAACTGAATTCCCTTCAAGTTTAAACAAATTCTACCCGTTGCTCCAATGTTCTGCTATTTCCAAAAAAAAAATGAAAATAAAATAAATAAAATAAAACGCCGTTTCACTATTTTTCCATAAAAAGCGTTATTGTTTTGCGTGCGCTAATTTTTTCTGGATCGCAAAAAAAAAAAGTCTGTTGTTCAGACCTCCGCACTTGGTATGGACCCAGAAGTATGATGTGTTTGGCAGCCTATTGAGAGAATGTGCGCTACTGCTAAGCTAACTATAAACTACAATCAAATTAGCGATTCTTGTGGGAATTGGCCGCCGTACGTATATCATTTACAATCATGTACGACAAGGTGCTTTAAGACCGCAGGACTTGATAGCTGTCAGGGAAGATGAAAGTAATCGTTTTAAAGAGGGACTCTATTAAAGCTGATCTCCGGGGAACTATAAAATACACAAAATAATGTAGCTCAGTATTGGTTATTACATTATATATATGTATAGTATAAGTACCCTCATTTGTCTTGGTATCAGCTTCTTACAGTTCCTGTACAGCAGAGCTCAGACTGTGGGGAGAAAAGCATCACAAAGAGCCAATCAGTTGTGCTGACAGGAGGTGAGAGCAGAGTGAGGGATGAGCCTCTCTGATCCTGCTGATTCTTCCGTCCAGTGATAAGTTCGGGGAGGGACAAGACCTGTAAGTTTATTTATTTCAGGTACTTATATAGCGCCGTCCATTTACGCAGCGCTTTACACACATATATATATTGTACATTCACATCAGTCCCTAACCCTCAAGGGGTGTACAATCTAAGGTCCCTAACTCACATTCATACATACACATACTAGGGACAACTTAGACAGGAGCCAATTAACCTACCAGCATGTCTTTGGAGTGTGGGAGGAAACTGGAGGACCTCGAAGAAACACACACAGGCACAGGGAGAACATACAAACTCCAGGCAGGTGGTGCTGTGGTTGGGATTTGAACCAACAACCCTAGTGCTGCCAGGCGGAAGTCTTGAGAACGCCCTGTGGGTGGAGCAAAACGCGTTGACGCACTTCCGGTCCGCCGTCATTCTGGTTAACGTCACTTCCGGTGTTTGGAACGCACGCCAGCTTATGCGGTTCAAGCGGCCATCTTGGAGGTGGCAGGCTGTTCATTCTCTGCAGTGACTATAGAAGCGTGAGATCCCTATATCTACATTCTGAAAATTTGTTATCTTGAAGCCATTGAGGCTATTAAACAAGGCTTTTAATTTTATTTAAACATGTGAGTGGCCTTATTCTATCTTTCTATTCTATATGGAGTGGCAGTATTACACTATGTAGTTTTTTTTTTCTCTGCACACTATTGAGGAATCCATGGAGAAATAGAGTGGAGATGATGGCTATACCATAGCAGGGTGAAGAAGGAGATTTGAGTTCCTTTGGAGGGGTTATAGGATCCCTTATATCCTATAGGCTCACTACTCACCTCCATCTGGTGAGTGCGGTCAACATTATTTCTCACGTGGTGGAAGGTGGAAGCACATTTGAAAGATTTTTGATTGATTTTCATGGGAATAAGGACTTATATATATATTTTTTTTTTTCACAGACACTTATTATAAATTTAGTGTTTATCTATTTGTGTTATTTTCATTTTAGATTTTGCGCTGTTTTTGTGTTGTTTAACCTACCAGCATGTCTTTGGAGCGTGGGAGGAAACCAGAGTACCCGGAGGAAACACGCGCAGGCACAGGGAGAACATGCAAACTCCAGGCAGGTGGTGCCGTGGCTGTGATTAGAACCGACGACCCTAGTACTGCCAGGCGGAAGTGCTAACCATTTAGCCACTGTGCTGCCCACGTGTTACTTAACCACTTGGCCTCAAGAGGATTTACCCCCCTTCCAGACCAGTTCATTTTTGCAATACGGCGCTGCTTTACTTTAACTGACAATTGCGCGGTCATGCAATGCTGCACCCAAATTAAACTTACATCCTTTTTTCCCCACAAATTGAGCTTTCTTTAGGTGGTATTTGATCATCTGTGAATTTTTATTTTTTGAGCAATAAACAAAAAAAGCCCAACAATTTTGAGAGAAAAACAATATTTTTTACTTTTTGCTATTAAACATGTCCAGTAAAAAATTTAAAAAATCAGTTTAGGCCACAATGTATTCTGCTCCATGTCTTTGCTAAAAAATAAAAAACAATACATGTAAATTAATTGGTTTACGTGAAAGTTATAGCGTTTACAAATGGCGGTACATATACTGAATTTTTTTTATTTTACTAGTAATGGCGACTTATAGCGGGACTGCAACGGGCATTCTGACACTGGGGGGGGACTAACTGGGTGTCACTGACATCCCCAGTGACACCGATACAGTGATCAGTGCTAATTAAAAGCACTGGCACTGTACTAATGGCACTGGGCAGGAAGGGGTTAACATGAGGGGCAATCAAAGGGTTAACTGCGTGTTGTTTCGCTATGGGAGCTGTTTGTGTGCTTCACTGTAAGAACACTGCTTTGTATGGCTCTGCTATGCAGAGCCATACAAAGCAGTGTGCAGGAGCTGACAGGGGAGAGATCTGTGTTGTTTATACACAGGTCGCTCCCCCATCGGCGATCACCGGGTGCCGGCGAGTAATCACCGGGCCGGTGATTAACAGCCGAGGGCAGCGCGGAAGCTGTGAACTACAGTAGAGAAAGAAAGCAGGTCTTCTGGTCTGCCAGGCAGGGCTGAGCCATCTGGCAGGCTGTGTAAACCTCAGAACTGAATGGGCAGAAATACAAATTACTGGCAAGTAAAACAGCCCTCATGTGTTCAATTAGCTGTTTGCCTGGAGTTTGGTTACCAAACTAGTGTCATACTATCATTCCAAAATAATTCACAAAAATATATATCTGTAAAAAACACAGACACATGCATAGCCATTGATTCAGCAAGTTTTCTCTGTCTGCAGTAGTATAATACCTCATTATGACCTGTAGATGGAGCTGAAGAGCACAAGAAATACATATGTAACTGTAACAAGAGATACAATGTAATCATTCTAGAGAACACTAGAGGGAATAAGCCGATAAATGTAACCACTGGATCAATGGTCCCCCTTTGAACAGTAATGACAAGCTACTAATTTGCTGTTACCATGGGTTTGAGGTGAATCATGTTGGTGCCAGATTCGCATTGCTGGTGATTACCTGTGCAGATTTTAATTTTTTTTAATTATAACTCACTGTGTTATATTTGAACTATGGCCAGCAGGCCTGGAAGAAGTGACATGTTGGCTTTTTATTAAGCCCGCCCTCTCACTATAAAAGAGGTTAGAGTGGGAATATTAGTGTATTGGGAGCTGTTGTAGGGATAGCTGATAATCAGCATAGGGAGAGATTAGGGTCAGTAAGTAAACTGTATTTTAATTGTGAATGTGAGTTCTTTGGGCAGTCAACCTTGTTGCTGTTTTTTTTTTTTTAAGTTGTTTTTATATTGGAGCATTTTGTTTTACATTTTAATTTGTGGTTGATTTGTGGTCATAATGTATGGGGGACTATGATGGGCTGTGTGCTTGCACCCAACTGCTCAAGTCCTTACCCCAATTTTCTTGGATAGGACAGCTACCCACCTGCTGGTAGCTGTAGTCCTTCACCATACTGTGTCAAACTTCTGACCATAGGTTCGCTCACGACATCCCTGGTCATAGGCCTTAATATAAAATAAAGGAATATCCACAATATCCGATATATTCTGCACGTTACTGTAGCTTTGAAAGTAAGTACTGTAGCTTTAAAAGTTCAGCTGGTCCTCCTGGGTGCTGAACTACCTCGCCCGGGGCTTTAGGTTTCCTGGTATTAGCTGACCACATCCACATGGCTCTGGGGTGTTTGGCTTCCATGTGACAACTCATTAGGCTCTTCCCAACCTGACATTTATATAGGCACTAACTCCACCCACTACATCACTAACAGAAGATTTTCTCTTAAAGGGACCCAACACCTAATTATAGAATTCCCTGCACTGCACTATTTTGGAACCAAGGCACTTAGTGGCAGAATAACTGCACCTGATAACAAGCTGTCCTGTTCGGCTCAGGGGCAGACTGACCATTTGGAAACTCTGGCACTGCCTGAGGGCCAGGGGTCAGTAGGGGGCCCCATGAGATGCCCCTGGTACCTTTTTCATAGGCTTTTTTGAGTTTGGGCAAGGACACAGGGGCCCCATGATCCCTGATTGCCCGGGGGCCCCATGAGTTGTCAGTCCGCCCCTGGTTTGGCTGTTATCCCATCCATTAGAAAAATTTGAGGGTTTATTTATGTATTTATTTATTTAATATTGCTGCAAGGCTTTTATTTCAGAGGTAGTATTTTAGGGGTTTCATTTCTTTCATCTTTTTTGTTAGGTTGATATGGCCCCTTTAACCCCTTCACGCCTAAGGGTAAAACAAATATTAATGCCTAAGCACAATTTTGCAACGTTGATATGTGTTAGTAAAACCGTACATATAGTCACAACTACTTTGTACATTCAGGTGGATTATACCTTGTTTTTTCAGGACAAATTGGGCATTCATTTGGTGGTAAATGGTAATGGATATCTCCTGATTTTATTATCAAAGGAAAACCTACTCAAAATAGTACAACAAAATGTTTTAATTTAGATGTGTGCTTCTTGTTACTACCATAACCTACCACAACAAAACAACCCAAAATAAATTTTCCAGCTCTTGACGATCACAGTGATACCATATATGTGTATGTTATTTGTTGCTTGTACCCGTAGTACATCCCAGAAACAATAGTGCACATTTTGTTTTTTGGGGTTTTTTTTTTTTTTTTTTTTTTTACCTAAAACACACTAACACTAACTGACACTGATACCAATTTTTTTTTATTAATCCTGACCTTTGACCCTGACCTTGACCCAAACACTTACCCTGGCACTGAACTAGATCAAACCTTGATGTAGGTATTTTTTCTTTTCTTTTTGTTTTTACATTTATTTATTTATTATTTATTTATATTTTTCAATTTTTTTTTTTACAAACATTTTTTCCCTCTATGCCAGGAGTTAGAGTGATACAATATATCTCTCTCCTCCATTCATAGAGAGAAAAAAAAACAAGGGGGCCGGGCTGTATAGTGACTGATCACTGTGATAGCCAATCAGAGTCTATCACAGCGATCATGTGACCCGGAATCGGGCATCCCGGGTCTCGACCGTTAGAACAGGACCTGGGGCTTTCAGTGACACCCTGGTGTTTGTGCTGGGAGCTCGCCGTGCTGCCCAGTTTCCCAAGCCTTTTTAATAGTTTACATATTAGTCATAAAACTTGCCAAAATTAAATACCAAGAAATCCACCACCACCACCCCACCATAGACTTCAGTGGGATTCAAGTGAATACTTGAGCTCAGCAACGTTTGTAAAATAATGCGTTTGGGGCTAAAAATATGAACACAGGCTACATTGTAGGGGGAGAACCAACTGGAGGAATCGAGGATGGAAAAGGATCTGGAGGTCCTAGTACATGACAGATTCAACAACTGCACAGCATGATCAGCAGACAACAATGACTACAATGTTACAATGTTACAATGATACCACTTTAAAAAAAGTTGGTTTGGCCACATCTTGAGTAAGCTGTCCTGGTCTGGACACCAATCCTCAGGAATGATGTGCTGGAGCTGAAGAGAGTATCCTTAGGAAAGATGTGATGGAGCTGTAGAGAGTCCAGAGAAGGGCGACAAATCTAATATGGGGCCTGGAGGACCCAAGTCATGAGGAAATGCTACACATATTAAACGTATTCTCCCTGGAGAAGATATGTTTGAGAGATGTGATGGCAATATTTAAATATCTATTCAGTCTCAAGTGACCCAAAGAAGACAAGGTCACTCAATGATTTTGGATGAGAAGTGGCTTAACCTTATTCTGAGCACCCCTAACATTCTTTAATATTAGAACAGTAAGGATGTGGAAATCCCTTCCACAATCGGTGGTGTCAGCAGGAGGTGTCGATAATTTTAAAAAAACCTTTTAGATGGGAATCTTAGTGAACAAAATATACAGGGATATCAGAAGTAGTAATGACATAAATGCACATATACATCCACACAGGCTGAACTTGATGGACTGGTGTGTTTATTCAACCTTACCAACTATGTAACTATGATTCTTTTTTATTCCATAAGAAGTTTATTGAAACATTTTTTTAAAACATTCAAAGTATTAATATAACAACAAGGGATTATTAATCTGTAACCCCAATTCAAATGTAACTAAGATTCACTGAAACCATTGTGAATCTAACCCAGGCAGATTCAATCATCACTAATGAACAGATATAGGAATATGTTTTTCATTTTATATACAGTATAACAGACCAAAAGGGAGCACAGAAGTTCATTGCTAGGCTTTACTCTTTAAAGTGGAGCTCCTCCCAGGGGAAGTTCTGCTTTAAGCCTTTGTCTCCTGCTCCCCATTAAGGATTGGCACCTTTGGGGAGCAGCGGGGGGAGTAGGTACCCTAATTTGACAGGTACCCGCTCCCACTTCCGCTGCAATCGCCTAGGCGATCGAAGCGGAAGTTGTCCTCCCCCCTCCCTCCCCGTAGTCTTCTGTGACACATGACAGGTCCCAGAAGACTACGGGACCATTCTCAAAGCACAGCGCTTCTCACGCATGCGCAGTGGGCACCCGGCTGTGAAGCCGCACACTATCACAGCCGGGTGCCCACACTGAAGATGCCGGCAGCAGGGAGAGAAGACGGCCGTTGAAACCAGCGGTGGTGAGGACACTGCTGGACCGAGGGACAGGTAAGTGGCTGTTTTTTAAAAGTCAGCAGCTACAGTTTTTTGTATCTGCTGACGTTTATTTTTTTTTTCCTTGTGGAACTCCGCTTTAAGAATGACAAAAAAAGGCATATGCCTAACAAAGATGAAATGACCGTGCTGGAAGTAACTTCAGGATTGTATCCATTTCAGGGACATACAGAATAAAGCATTTGCTGCCGGCCATCTGAATAAGCTATGGTTAACATTAAATGGAAAAATGTATAATTAATATGTAACATATAAAAAAACAGTATGTTCTCAAAATGAACCATAAGCTATATGTTTTTAATTGAATCAAATTTTCTTATTTTTTTCTTCCATAAGACATACTGTAAATCTGCCAAATTCTTTTCAGCGTCTGTTTCCAGTTAATTGGGGAAGGTATGTTTATTTGAACTTTCCCTGCACAACAAAGGAAAGAGATATCTCATATTAAATGAAATTTTATTGTTGGTCTGAGATAAGGATTCTTCGTGACTAACCTGCTCTGTTGTAATGCGCCCCACAAGATGGCCATTGTTAACATACTTTGCTATTGATAAATTTCTCAGACTGAAGGTCCCACAGGCACTCAAGGAATCATATACTGAGCCAAGTGCTACGTTATAGCCAAACATTTACTCAATGGGACTCTTCGGTTTGCTGGAAGATTCTGTAGCTACCTATAGACACGAGGCTGAGGTCAGACTGCTGAAATATCTGTCACAGGACCAGATTCCCATCACAAGAACCTG